AAGAATCTGGTAGTAAAAAATGTGTTTTTCTTTTGTATGTAACTGGTAGATACCATTTTCAATTTTATGTTTGCATTTTTTCAGTACAAACCCTTGTGTGCACATACAGGCTTTGTCCTGGTTTGTGCAATTTAATCTTTATTATGAGAGAGAGAGAGAGAGAGAGAGGGAGGGAGGGTTGCTAATTTGATGATAAATTGTATGGTATGGAAATTTAATATTTTCCTTGTCTTTGTTTAAAACGAATTGTAAGAAGTCTCTTTTCTGGGGAAAATTGGGTTGTATTGTATGAGAAAAACCCGGTGTTCCAAGAGAGAACATTTTGTGGCTTTGTGCTTTTTGAGGTTAGGTTAATGTTTTGTTTTTGGAATTTCTTGGTTTTTTTAAAAAAAAAAAAGAAAAGAAAATTGTCACGTGCGTTTGTTAATTTTTTGTTGGTCAACAGTGTGAATGAAAAGTGACATGTTGTGTTACTTTTTAATTTAAATTTTTTATTTTTTTTCGAATTTTTATCACTTTCAACTTATAGATTATTGTGTTCTAAATAAAAGGTTATGTTTTATGTTTAGTCAAATCATCTCTTGGATCCATTCTAAGATTTTGATAGATATTTATCACATTTTTGAGTGTTTGCTACTCTATTGAATAGATATCAAATTCAAGATAATATGTTGGTTAATAGAGGTGAAACATAATCACAAAAGATAACATACAAAAGAAAATCAAACATCCCCTGAATCTATTCTAAAATTTTGATTGATGTTAAATACCGTTTGTCACTTTTTTGAGTGTTTATCATTTTTTTAAGTTTTGGTCTCTTTTTAGAATTTTTGTCATTTTATTGAACTGCTTACATATTTAAGATTAGTTTGAACTCCATTTTTGTCAAAAAAAAAAAAAAAATGCATTTTTGAATAGTGCATTGATGGTAAATGTGTGGTTAAAAAATAAAGAAATGTTTTGCGTTGGTGTGTAATATTATTTTATTGAAAAATATGTAATTGAAATGTAGTCAAAACACTATTCAAGAATTTTATATTTTTTTTTTCTTTCCAGATATGGGGCTCAAACAAGGGTTTAATGTTACTTTTTTCTGACACTTTCTAAAAATTTCTATCACTTTTTTGATTAATAAACATCATTTAAAAAAGTGACATTTAGCTTAGAAAGGTTACAC